GTGTGTGTGTATATATATGATATATACAAATATATATATACCTACATACATACATACATACATACATACGTACGTACATACATACATACATACATTCATTCATTCATACATACATACATACATACATACATACATACATACATACATACATACATACAAACAAACATACATACATACCTACGTACATACATACATTCGGACATACATACATACACACATAAATACCTACATGTATAATGCATACATATCTACCTGTAAATACATATACATTTATATTTATCCTTCCTGATAGGGAAGACATGGATGGTAACTCACTCAAAGTAATTGCCATATGCCAACGATTGCTTGCCAAACAGAGATGTGCCTAAGCCTGAAATACTTAAAATACACGGATAACACACTCACACACTACTCAAGCATACATATACACATGCACACCTCTACATGAACATACATATCCACGTATACATACCCAAGTGTAAACACACAGACACAGACACAGACACAGACACACACGCACACACACATCCTACCTAATAGGACAGGCATGGACGGTAACCCACTCAAAGTAATTGATGCATGTCAGTGATCGCTTATTAAACACAGGCGTGCCTAAGCCTGTGCTCTGTTCATCACACACAAAGGTTATAATCGATGTCTTGTTCTGGTGGGGACCCCCTGAGTAGCATATCTCATCGGATATGTATGTGATGGTCAATACGCCATCCTCTACCTGTAGCCCAGGAATGGTTGGCGAGAACGTATGGTGATGTAGGCGTGGTTGAGAAAACGTATTGGTGATATTAGTGTGTATATGAAAACGTACTGTGATGTAGGCGTGGGTATGGAAACGAATTGCGATATTGGCGTGATAAAGATAGGGTAAGGTGATGAAGGAGTGATCACGAGCACACACTGTGATACAGGCGTAAATATAAAAAAGTATTGTGATTTAGGTTTAAATTGAAAAACGTATTGTATTCAAGGCGTGATTAAGATGATGCATGACGATATCAGTATTGTTGGTTAGGCTCATTAAACGCGTCATATACTATTGCGGAGATATTTGTGGATATATTTTCATACATACACACACACACACACGCACACACACACGCACACGCACCCACAGACAAAGACACAGACACAGACACAGATACAGATATATATATATATATATATATATACATATAATTGTTCACAGGTACACATTATAACTATATATAGACATACACTCGACTATATATTAACACAAAGAGTGTACTACACTACCTTAGGACCCTCCACTGGGTAGCCCAGGTTCTCTGTTTTGCTGACGACACCACTGTGCTCTCTCACACGGCACACCGCGGAGCCTGCAGGACAGTCCGCGTGCTGTTTGGCTAGAGGCTTACACACATTGAAGTAATACCTGGTAATATAACACATAATAGTTAATTTATGTCGTAAATGTGCATTGTATGCTAAATTGTAATACATAGACTGTTCAACAAGCTGTTTGGCCAGAGGCTTGCACTCGTTGAAGTAATACCTGGTAATATATTACAGAATAGTCAATTTATGTCATAAATGAGCACAATGTGTAAAATCGCAAAACATTGCAAAATATCATATAGCAGTACATTTTCTGTCGTAACTGTGCATCATGTATTGAATTGTATGATTTTCTCACACAGAGAGACTGATTTGTAAAAACTATCGCAATGTATACCTGCACAGTCCACAAACAGTCAAGAGAATGTCATAAATGCATCTTTGTATTAAACTGTATTATATTATACA